GTCATCATGCAGGGTTTGGATTTAGAGGTCGGTTATTCAACGATCCGCCTAGAGGTCACCGGAGCTACTGCACCTCGTCAGCCTCACCCTTCATGATGGCTTTGCAGCACTCTTGCACAAAGTATGCCAGTTGGTGCTCCTGTGAAGGTCTCGAAGAACTTGCAAAAAGGAACTCTCCGAGAACTCCGATAACGTGTCCTCCTTCTGCAAGTACGGACGCTTCTGGAAGAGCTCTAACAACTTCTCCTGAAGACAACCCGCACCGCCCACACCGCCTGTTCCAGTTTCTTCATACGAAGGTAATCAGCGAAATGGTCCTGGTGTGCCTTGCACTCAGCTGCGACCCTCATGTTGGCAAGGTCCACCATCGAGGTGAAGGTCACTTCATTGGCATCCTCGAGCATTTAGACACTAATCTGTCAACTGAACACACACACAAATAACTGTATATATATATATGTGTATATATATACAATAGGTACCATTCGGTCGGTATAAGTATACACAGGGAAATATAACACTTTATAGAATGTATATAACTTTGGAGGCTTTTCTCACTATACATAAATGTTGCAATCTTGTCAATTTTTCTTAGTATTTTCTGGCCCATCCTGACCAGAGGGAGCTGCACAGCAGCCTCCTAAGGCCTCCCACGTCTTGCTAAGGAATTCCATGGCCGTGTGCCGTGCCACCAGTCGCAGGCTTGGGCTGATCGCAGCTTTGGAACAAATAACTTTGCGGTGCTCTCTGTAACTGCAAGTGGCACTATTCCATCAATGCTCTCTGAATTTCACACGACTCAGCGGCTGAGCTTTTCTGCGACTGCACGCCCGGCACGTAGTCTCTGTGTGTATTTGAAGCATCACGATCACTTTCTAATTGATTTTTGACCTGTATGGTGCACTTCAATGGGGGCACTAGATTGAAAGAATGGATGAGTGGATCAGTTACTAGCAAATGCCTATTCTGGCGCCGAATTTAGGCCCAGGTTAACTATCAGGTGCCGCATTTAGGCCCGGGGTGGCTGAGTTAGCCACTCCGCGAAAACCTCGCAAGCCACTTCGGCGAGCTTCATGGCCTGGCACAAGTCATGTTCATCTGAACACAAAACATAAACTCGTCGTAGGGCATGAAGTCTCTGCAATTTGGGGAAGCAATGGAAGCAACTGTCGTCTCGCCCACGCTAGAATAGCGAATAGCGCGGAGAACATGCTAAGCTAAGCCTAAGCACACGGCCTGGCAGTGACCCCCTGCCGGAGCAATGAAGGACAATGACAGAAACATTGGAAGGATGTCATTGTATCATAGCTGCGGCAGAAGTGCATGTCAATCTTGGATTTGGATATGTTCGGAATTGATGTGTGGATTTGATATCACTTCTCGCTCGGATTTAAATCTCAGTACCAGCTACATGTTGATCTCAAAGATTCCATTTTTCGAATCTCAACTAATGTCCGTAGCGCCCTGCCTTCCGCAACAGGTAAGCGTAGTGTACGCTGCCACCTCACGCATGTGCAGACTTCGCGGTCTTCAAGACCTCTTCAAGACCTTGAACAACCTATCCTTTCGACGCAATGGTCGACCATTTGTGGCCTGGGATCTTCACGGGGATCGGCACCTGCAAAGAATGGATCATTGAATAACATTTTGGTTTATCCTATTATCTGTACCAGTGGATGATGATGGTTAGCAAAGGCCTTGTTCAAAAATGATTATAATTGTTTACTGACTGTCACAGGCAATAGGACAAACCCTAGAATAAATTCTCCAATTTCAATCGTTCGAAGTGGTCTTGAAAAACATTGTTTGGCCAAACAGGCTCTGGCGGGACTTGATGTCTGCGTGGTATGCCGTACAATTTCAGAAGGCGTGGAGGCACTCCCATGCCTGCTTGATGGCAAAGTTCAGGCCTTTTCCCTTGAAGTATTCCGTCCTGTGGGAAACAACAATGTAGGCATTTGCAACTAGCGTGGTCCAAGGGGAGGAGCAAATCCGGCAAACCCAGTACTGGTACAGGGCAATCATGGCAGTCATTCAGAAAATTAACAGAATCTTCTGTGGTGCTATAATACGATGCACAGGACAAGTGCCGCTGCTTGTGTCATGATTGTCATGGATTCAAGCTTGTGATGAAAACCAAAAATCTTGCACGCCTGGTGTTTGGAACGCCGTAACTTACGCAAAGAAACCTGCCGTGACACAGCCAAAGGTGAGAGGTCTCTTGGTCCGTTGCTGCAACAAATTGCTTTCAGTCTGGTCATTCCTCAAGCAACTAGCATGAGGCTTAGTATGAAAATATGTAAGTTCAGCATTCATCTTGTCGGAACCGAATGGAGTTTGAGCAATTGTATGTTGATGTATGCTGAACCACTGAACCTCCTTGAAATGAATATGAATGATGCGTTCTCCGCTGCAGGTCCTTTTTTCCAGAGCGGCGCTTGGGCTCAGGGTCTGTGACTCTGGCGGACATTCCCGGAATGTGTGCACGAGGACATGTGGATACCGAACATGTAGCCATGCTATCAATGCGGCCGTGGTGTCCCAATTGACCTAAATGAATGCAAACAAATCCATCATAATCCATCTTGTTACTTGTTCGTATTTCCAGGATTGTCCAGCTCAAAGGAATCCAGCACAGGTGTCAAGCTGCAAGAGCCTCTCACGTATTCCATGGCCAGAGGTCTCTGAAGGAGTCCCTGTCAGGATCCTTGGATGCAGTGCAGCCCGGGTTTAGTTCCAGTCTGTGGCTGCATCTCACAGACTGGTCATGTGAATGCCAAGGAGCACAAGGGCGCCCAAGAGAAAACCTGGGCAGGAAAAGTACTTGAGGGCATTTGGCCCCAAGAGGGATACAAAGTAAGAACCAAGTAAGCTCTTGAACTTGCTCTTGCCATCTGCTGCCTTGCCTTGAAAGATTCGTATATATATATATAACGAGAAACCCGTTGAGTTCTACCTGTGCCAAGGTCTGCCAAATGAAGTCCCAAGGAACTCAAGAGTGCTTTGATGTCTTGCCGCGCTTGGCATCCAGCATATCGTCCGAGAAAGTCCTGTGGGCATCGACTTGTATCCGTCGAAGTGACCTCAAACAATGGAGCATCCCGGGCATCTCAAATGGCAACAACGTTGCCGTGTCCCCCTGAAAAATGTGTTCTATCGAATAGTGTCCTTTATACTGTCTACTGGCTATCTGCAACTCTAGGCCTCTAGGCCCCTTCTTCAGGGCACCTGCAGCTGCCGGAAATTTGTAGAAACTACATGCCGCACTTGTACAGTACAAGATTCGGCTACTACGTTGCCGAAGCTCTTGCAACCAAGTTCACGCTCAAACACAGGCAAAGAATGGGCTTGGTGGTGCAAAGGAAACACACACACACATACATAACAGTGCATAATGTATATACATATATATATATATATACATATATATATATACATATATGTATATATATATATATGAGAGCGCATGTTGGGATCATTCTTCGGTGCATTCGTGAAGTTTGGAGGCCTCCGTGTGTATGGAATCTGCGTGTTATGGTGTATTTGGTGATTATTGGATGTTATTAGCATTGAGGTAACCAGTAGGACTGATTTCGTTGATCTTCGCCTGACAATCTGAAAAGCCTGGTCAACGAATGCTCAGCAGGACAAATGAAGCGGCCCAACCCAAAAAATACCAAAGCCAGTCGAAGACGGCCACCATTGTGCCAAGTTGCAATGCCCAAGTTGTGAAGTGTGCAAAGCAAAAGGCCGGCCAGCATCATGGTAAGTAAACCTGTCCGTTTCAAACATCGGTGAACACGTCGGTGTTGTGATTGATCAAATGGGTATTGAGATAGCATACTATTCCCCTGACAGTCGAAGTATGTCGAAATCACTTGCTCTTCATCGTTTTGCCACTGAAAAATCCATCTCAAAAGCTGTCAATGTTGCAGCCATGGCTCACAACACGCCAGTGGCGTAAGCCTAACACAGGCAAGAAGGGAACATTGCTCTACCACCTCCTGCACAAACACCTACAAATTCACAGCTTGTTGACAACTATGTTAACACTCTTCGACCAAGTGAGCAGGGATCGTTACTTCATCTGATGCGGGCTGAGGAACTCCTTGACTCTGTGTTGCTAGCCTCAAGATTGCAAAATGCAATGTGATTCAATTCACCTTGTTCTGGACCCAAAGATAACCCAGAAATCTATATATAGGCTCAAGATGACTCACGAATCGGGGCGCCATCTTAAACTCTCGACAAAACCTAGCTTTTGCCTCTTTCGGGCAAGTCTCTGCCCACGAATGTCAGAAGAATGACTGTTCATCACCGACCTTGGACGAAGAAAAGGGCGACGGACACAGCGTCTACAGGGCGTCTTTGAACTCATAAGCATTCATAAGCAACAGCAAACAGCAACTATGTAACCTGCAGACTTCTTTGTGCTTTTGGTGTGAGTATGTCCTACTGTATCCAGCGCACAATTCTGGCAAATCGTACTTCTTGGGAATAAGACGTGGGCGGAGATGAGAGATGGAACTGAATGGAAAATGGAAGGGAGCTGAAAGCGATTGGTTCCGCTGAAAGCTCCCTATACACCTGACCTGCTTGGACAGAAAAGCTGCGGCCATAAATCCTTGCGTGCGCATGGACTCACTAGTCAATCACCCGACCCTAGCCTTACAAAAGCCTTTCAGCATTTCTGCACACGAGAAAAAGAGGCAACACTTCAACTTCAGGGTGGGCGCACGTGCCGCGAGGTCTGAGGATTCTCTGAACCTGTGGCATCTCGTCCACGCTCACAGCGATCAAACGGACATGACGTGCGGGTTCGCCCGTGGCGACACATGGAGAAACCGCCACCCAGCATGGCTAGGTTGAGAGGTTAATCTAGTCAGTCCTTTCTAGCAACACTAATAGCACTGAGGTCGCTTACAGTAGGGCTTCATTATACAGGTCAAAAAACAGGATCTTTCCTCGTGGTCTGCTGCTGCACTCTCCTGCAGCATAAATCAATCCCACCACGGAAACGTAAAGAACTCATGGAAGGGGCTGTATGTTTGCTTCAGGGGTGCGTACATCACTCTTTGCCGATGCTTCTGCATCTCAAAACAGCAAGAAATTTGGTTCCTTGGGTCAAGGTTCTGGGCCTCCAATAAGTACTTGTTGATGACCTCAGAGGCATTATCACCTCAGTATGGGCGTTGATTCGATCCTTGCACTCTGTACAGTTGTTGAAGAGATCAAGCGAGCCAACAACACAAAACAAGCCAAAATCAACAACAAACAAGATGCACTTAGAGAAAATTGAGAAATCACCACTTCCTCAAGCCCTTGGTGTTCTTGCATGCTTGTGTATGCCGCTTGTTTGATTGCTACTTGGCCATGCACCGCAAGCGAATGTATCAAGAACACTCTTGTCGATGACGGTGTCGAAACTGCTCTCTGACAAACCTGTTGCCGTAACCCCCAACAACCGCTTTTGCACCACACAATCACTCCACAACAGGCTTGGGAAACGCAATTCTCAAGAAGCGGCTGCTAGCGGCTAGCAGTCTTGACCCAAGAAGACCACCGGACATCGTGACACGATTTGAACCGGGTTTGTTCCTTACTACGAGCCATGTAAGTGTGGAGACTTTCTTGATCTGCAGTTGCGCAGTTTCTTCATTTGAGATGCTGAACTCTCGCCTGTAGAGGTGGCATCCATTTCGAGCCTTGAGACTTGAGAGCGTCCCGTGCTGGAGCTGGTAGGGTAACAAAGGAGCACGGAGCAAGGCTCGCTATGTCCGAGTCACACACCCATCTTCACATCATCTTTGGGGGTCACTGGCTTACTCTACAAACTCATGGACCGTGATGGATCCTGTGTAGTGTGTAGTGCCGCTACCACTGGTGTTGATTAGCAGCGATCCAACACCAGTCTGAGCGTTCCGGGCCACTTCAGTTCGGGCCGCATGTCCTTGTTCCTGGCATGTGCGTGACTGGTCTGAATATTGAAAACGGCGGAACCATGGGTCTTCAGGATTGCATGAAGGTCTTGATCTATTGTGAACTACTTCTGAATGTGCTCTCCTCTGTGGGCGATGAATATCCAACGGAATCCAACCCATTCGTGCACTTGGTGCACTTGACTGAAACACTGTTCGAACAACAGAACACTTTACCTTACTTTACTTCAAGTGATCCCCCACTATGGCATTTCGAGGATCTGGCGCTCGTGGTTTAGGTCCGGTGGTGCCCACTGCGATCTGCCACTGGTGGTTCGGTCCGGTGGTATCGCTCTCTGGAGCTGGAAGGGAGGCAAAGGAGGAGAATCAAAAGGTGAAGGAGGGAGAAGAAAAGGGAAGGAGGAGGCGGTGGAAGCAACTTTGATAAAGTCTAACAACCCTCAAATGGCAGGTGGGGAACAAGGGAAGCCTGTTGAAATCCTGGAAGTGAGACGGCTGACCTCGCGGCCATCTGTTGCACACAAACCTGCAGTCAGCTCATTTTTGCTCTCCCTCTCGTCATGACAGACTCGTCTTGTTTTAGCTCTTGCATGTCGGCCTCTGCATTGTCAATGTTTGTAATGTCCTTATAGCCATGGTCATACCTTAGAGATGGTTGAATGGACAGCAACGTGGCATTGGCAACCTCTGTCACCTAGAAGGCAACTTACAAAAACCATGCTGACAGGTCTGCACAGCGACCGGGCACATTTTCAACTTCATACACTGCTGGTACTGGAAGGAAGTACAGTACCCAGTGCGAGGAGGGCCCTCAAGATCCTTCAAGGCAGTCTCGGATTTAGCGAAACCTTGGCTTCTGGCATTGCTTCGGGCAGCAACGAGTTGCCGCATCCCATGTGCAGGATCGAAGCATCTAATCTACCAGAGGTGGCCTGGCAAAGGACTTACGTTCCACATCAAACATAGCCAAAACCACAAATCCACAGGCTTTCAAAACAAGGCATCTGCCGTTTAGATGCATTTAGGGTCATCCGAAGAACACCGCTGCTCTGCCATCATCCCATTGTGAAACTGGGTCGCAGAAACCCCTGCCCTGGCCCAAAACATGTCCAGCCCACATTCCATGGAGTTCAAAAATCGGGGAACTGTTGCAAGCAATCAAATAACCAACACAACCATTGGCACATACATCTAACATCATATAAGAGCCTCACCATGGCACCAACACATCGATGCTCGAGGACATCGATGCTCGGGCATCATCGCATCATCTTCGGATGGTGATGATACGGCCACTGGCGAAATGGCCTCCTTGATGAGGCTTTCAAGCTCTGCAAAGCTCTCAAGCCACTCGAAAGGAGAAGGATCACTGCGATACCTCCAGGGGTAGTTAGGTAGGGTGACTACACACCTACCCCAAACGGGCTTTCTAAATAGGAACTGCCATGTGGAACATGCCAGCTCATGCTGATCTAGCGATTGGTTGGAGCAGCAAATGCTGGTGTGCACAGGTATAGGAGTATAAGAGCATCAGTGTATGGGCCTAACAAATGAGAACATTACTTTCACCCAGTTGGACCTATCCTTTGAAGCCAATTGTTGGACTCGTGAAAAATCCCACCAAAGTGCTACAGCAGCAGCTGGCACCTTTTGTTCCAGTAGCCTCTCCCATCACCGTAGCCTGGCGCCTCAGCTCCGGCGTTGTTTGACGAGAGCTGACTCGACAGCTGATGCTCTGAGACTTGAGCTGCTTCGACTTCCTTGTTTGGTTCTGCACCTCCAACGTATGAAACTTTGGGTATCAGGCACGGCTTGAACATACATACTCAAAAATAGGATACCTCCTGAACCTCTACCTCTCCAAAATATTGTAATATATATATATATGTGTTTTTATGTGTTATGTTATTCTATACCCGGGACACAAACAGGTATGACATAGTATGACCAGGTCAACTGCTTTGTTTCCTCTTTCTGCAGCATTCTGGACCTGAAAAAGCATCCAAACTAGAACCCAAGAACATGAAGGACACGTAGGTTTCTTCGAGAAACTGAAAAAACTGAACTGAAAGAAACATGTAACGAACATCTATTAATCAAAAGCGAGCGCAGTGAACATAATATGTAATTTCAAACACTTCTGGCCGGCAACATTTCTGGCCACGACAAACATGCCACAAAGGCCATTGGTCTGAGTGTCAATCGCCATGGATGCCTCCAAGGGATTCGATGAGAGAGCCACAAAGGGCCCCCCTCAAACTTTGGAGGGCACAAGTCCAGTTTGACCCAGTATAGGTGCTTGAGAGTGCTTGCCACTGCACCAATCCTAGCCAGTGAGCAAGCCACCTGGGGAGCACAATTGACCGACGCGCCGGGTGGAACCACACGCTGGAGCCAATGGCTCCTTCATCCGCCCACGACCTACTGACGGCAATGGCCGCCAGCGGGCCACTGTCAATGACGAAATCACCAGCCGAATCACAAAAATAAACACATATAAACATGTTGTGTATATATATAATATATAATCATATCGATATATATATATATGTATGTTTTATCATGTTTTCATTATCTGCCAAGTAATAGATACAACAAAGAAACATATAACCCTCCTCGAGCAGCAAAAGCCATACATACACATAAACGATATTAAACGATCATGTTTTGTCTCATTCATTGGGGCCTAGTCACCGGTTTACACAAATGTCAGTGAGAGGCTGGAAAAAAGCGAGGGCAAGTGCCGCGCCAGAAATACGATGAAGTACGGCAGTGGTCGACTTACCGGCGACATCTTGGTCTCTCTGAAATCATGCCAGTACTCAATGGGTTTCAATGGCTTCTCATAGTAAGCCATATGGCTTATTCAATGGGTTTCACCATTGGTTTCGCCGGATCCTTCGATCCCTGGAGCCGAACTGTTCACATACGCCGCGCGTAAACATACGCCGAACTCCGTTCACATCTGCGACGGCAGCGGCGTTTTTCGGCATGGTGAGGAGCTCACTCTGGTGAACAAGGCCATATATATTTGTTTGCCTTCTGGTTCAATACTGCATGAAGCAGGTGAGGGAAAAAGCGTGAAATCTTACGGTACAGTGGGTACAGTAAAACAACACGGTGAAGCTCCCAGTCTTGCTGCGATGATTTGTTTGGATTAGAGTGACCAGTGACTCTCGACGCAAACATGCCCATCCCAGCACCCTTCTTTGGCAAACCTTCTCTGCAGCGCACATGAGAAGCAGGGCCTCAACACATGAGACCCCACAAACGTCCAAGATGTGGTGAGAAGCAGCTTGTTTCAAACAGGACCTGCAAGCTACACTGCCTATACAGCTCCTAGCTCGACCCAGTTGCGTCCAGGCTAGCCATGACCTTGCAAGAGATGCTGAACAGCTTGCTCTCTAGTTCAGAAGGTTTCTTATGGTTTCTTGCCTTTGCAGTGGCTGGAGCACGCAAAACAGCCTCCTCACAGGTTGCAAACGGTCACAGTATCCAAGTGAATCTCCCCAACCTTCGTTGGTCTCCATGCATGACATGTGGAGACCCAACGCAATTTCAATCCTCGTTCTTGAAAAGCTCCCGAAGTCTTTCCAAATCCTCAACCTGGCGCATTGTTACAAGTATCAAATAGTATAAGTCTGCAAGGAACCAAACACTACTTAATGGCGCAACTCATTCAGCAACACCACACTTCACACTGCAAACCAACTTGATACTGCTTCTTCTATGACGTTGTTGTGCGTCCACCTTTGGATTTGCAGTTCAACTCAACTCAACTCTGTCAAGTTGCCTCATCTATGTCCCACCATCGCGGTAACCTAGGCACGATCCGACATTCACCCTGTCATTCTTGGCGTCTCCTTGCCAAGGCCGGCACACTGCAACTCGCATGCCTCTCCTGAGCTGCTTGGGGGGGAGGGCCCAGTGCTATTCCAGAGGTGAACACCTGGGAAGCACGCCAGGCCCCACTCAGAGCGCACTTGTTCACGATCACATCTGAATAGGGCTCTTATGGATATAGAATCTCTCACACTTCCATGTTTTTCTTCACTTCTTCTTTCGGAGTCTTCACCGTGCCAACCCAAGCATTCGACCCCCGGGTCCCAGTCTTCACCGTGTTTCATCGTACCTGTCCGCGATGCCCGTCGATTCGGCCCGACTCCGGACCGAGCCACTCTTCCAGGCGCGCTTTGGTGGCTTCGAAGGTGCTTGGCCTCATATGCTGACATAAGATCTCACCATGTCCCTTCTTGATTCTAGCCCGTAATGCCGGCAAACGCATGTGCTTCCTGTGTCCTCTTACGCCACTTTATACTTTGCTATAGCAGCTGCTTTCCGGGATGAACGACCAGCGAACTGCCCAATGCAGTGCTGAGGAGCAAACTGACTCCATGGCAATTCCTAGGTGAAAAGGAGATCGAACCTGTCTTCATCCGGCATACTTATAGATGACATAAAAATACATAAAACATAATTACATAATGTAATTAACCAACATGTGCACCCATTGAAGCTTCTTTCGAGCACCCAGGCTGCAAGCAAACCTTCAGGGCATCGCTTCAGGGCGAGCACATCATACCTCCCGTGGTCGTTTCGAGGGTCGCATGACCAAGCTCCGCCGATCGAGCCGAGGGTCGCGGGTGGAGCACCCGCCATCCTCTGTCGGTCCCAGCCTCCGTGACGCAGGGCAACTGGGGAATTGGGACGCGAACACGGTTGGGACATTCGGAAAAGCATCGTTTTTGCGTTAAGTGTGCGAAAAGGACTGCCAAGATCTGCCAAGCCTTGCAACTATCTGAACAACTGCGACCAGAATCCTTGGGCCCTGGCACTGCATCAAAGCCATCCTGCAAAGCTTGCCTCCCAGGAAGATGCATGAGAAAAGCCACGTTTCGGAGTCATGAGTCAACTTGTGTCAATTTGGCAATCATGCCAAGAACCTTGTTGCTTCGAGCCGTTCTGCTGGCCGCCCAGGACCTCAGCGTTAAGTTAAAACGTGAAGGCTGTAACAGTAGTTGTACCGGATTGTAGCAGTTGTTGCATGATGACATGCTTCTTCTCCTGTTTATCAACTTATCAGTATCATTCTTCGGTTCTGAGATCTTCAAGGTTTCAAGGGAGTTGGATGATGTTGGATGTGCATCTCCGTCACGGCCTGTAATTTCGTGCATTGATCGATGATGACATGACTCTCCAAAAAGTGATTTCATGCTTCCAATACGGAGACCGATTCAGACCACTTCATGCCTTTGCCCCAAGCTGTCCGGGCCAAGGTCCAAGCTGTCAGCGCCCAAACAAATCGTGGCCTTGGCGCGGAGGGCGCCGGAAGGACTTCACGCAGGGCACCACGAAACACATGGTGGGCCCCAAGTCACATAGCACAGGCTCCGTTGATCAACATATCAGTGCATTGGCCAGTTGTGGCTGGTGTTGCTCTCCCGCCAACAAGTGCGCACTGCAAAAGGCTGCTTTGCTCCTTGATGTTGCTTGGTTCAAACTCAAGAAAAATTGGAACACCTCAGCTTAAGCTGCAATTTTGGAAGGAGGTAGGCACGGTCTGAGCTGGAAAAATAGTTCTTTATTGGTCGAGACGGGTGGCAGCATCTCTACGACCAGTGCTCTGCGAGCTGCGAATGCTGACTCTGATCTGGGACATCGGCCTCCGCGAGCTCCAAGCCATGTCGCACTATCCCCTTCCAAGTGCTGCTCAACAAAAGAGACAAACACGATTAGAGTAGTTTCAGAGTAGATGGCGCAAACCCCAAGAGGTCTTTCAAATGGGGTCCATATTAACCTTTGGGGGACCGTGCCATCTGAAACCACTATACAAGCGAGATTCTTGGCCGCGCGACCTGTGACGCAAAAGCACCCACCAGCTTTGGCCAAACTGATATACATGTCCTGTCCCCACGCCTCCATCTTTGCCCCCAAATCTCCGTCGGGTTGTTTCCACCCTCACAAGTCACAGTGCTTCTGACGAATCCGCAAAAGCACTGCCGCTAAGCTGGCGGCTTGGCACGTCGTCAGGTTGCCTGTTGGTCAGTCGAATTGCTGCTACACCCGGCTGAGCAACGGGGGATAGGGGACACACGGCAGGTCAGGTGTTTGTATTTCTTGACTAGTGTTTTTGGGGGCTCCGAAATCCTCACCTGGGTATGCCTGTGGGCCCCTCTCTACTCCACGCCTACCTCCTCTATACAGCGAGAGGGCCCCAAAAGGGAGCGGCACACAAACAAACGCAATCTCGACAGATAGATAGATAGATAGATAGATAGATAGATAGATAGATAGATAAAGAGGTTACAATACTATATACTATAGACATGTGAATATATGAGTACCTGAGAAAGGGGGGACGAAAGCCAGCTGCCGCTTCATTACGGCAAGCCGGAAAAACGTTCGGTGCGTGTGGACGCCGCGAGAAGCATCCACTCGACCGAGGACATGGTGCAAGTATAGTATATATATACTAGGGGGGCACGAGCCCTATGCGGATATGTAGTCAACCCCGCAGGCATCCCCACCGAAGCTCAGTCCAAATTCATGGACTTGAACTCATGTCACTTTCGGTTCTCTATGGATTTGGCGAGTTGCAGGTTGCCCTACGTTCTCCACTCAAGTCCTCTATGCCCATTGCCCAATTAGTCTACAAAGCCCTTCATGATGCTAATGATGCACTACTTGGCGTCCACTACATCACTCGCATCACCAGACCCCATTTACATTGCTTTTCGGACCCTCGCTTTGGAGCGCTCTCCCCCACCAAGCTCTAAGTTCATCCGTTCATCCTATCAAAAGGTTCCGCTCAGCGACCACC